CTCTGACTCAGATGGGAACTACAGGAGGGTTCTAAGCAGAGAGGCGACATGATCTGTCTCCCGGTTTAAAAGCATTCCCTGGCTGCTGAGTTGAGAAAGACTGTGGGAAGATCTGGGTAGAAGCATGGGGGCCAAGTTCTGGCAACGTCCAGGTGGGAGATGATTTTGGTCCTGACCAGGGTCATGGTGGTGTTGAGAGACGGTCAGAGGGGAGAAGTAGGGGAGGAGGCCAGGGAGTTGCTGGGTGGGGATCTTTAGTATGTGTTGAAGACAGTCAACAGGATTTCCTGACAGACTGGATGTGAGAGAAGGCAGAGGTCAAGGTTGAGTTTGATTCTTACTGAATTATTAAGTAATTTAAAAAAACACTACTGCCTTTCCCAATCCTAGCAAGTATGGGATGCTAGATTAAAGAAATCTCTTCAAGTTCATTGCAGTGGCTCATGTCTGCAGTCCCAGCTGTTTGGGAAGCAGAGATGGGAGTATCTTTTAAGGGCAGGAGTTCAAGACCAGCCTGGGCAACACAGCAAGATCTGCTCTTTACAAAAATATTTTTCAAAATTAAATAAATGTAGCTAGGCATGGTGATGTGTACTTGTAGTTTCAGCTACTCAGGAGGCTGAGGTGGGCAGATCTCTTGAGGTCAGGAGTTTGAGGCCAGCTTGGGCAACATAGCAAGACCCCTCACTCTACAAAAATATTTAAAAAATAGCCAGGCATGGTGGCACTCAACTGTAGTACCAGCTGCTGGGGAGCTGAGGCAGGGAGATGGCTTGAAGCCAGGAGGTTGAGGCTGCAGTGAGCTGTAAGTGCACAGCTGCACTCTAGTCTGGGTGACAGAGCAGAACCTGTATCACAGTACAAATAAAAGAATGAAATCTCAAGTCAGAGCCTTTGAGCTCTGCAACCCTTGCAAACCCTGAGCCGTGCAGTAGGGTTTGTGTCGCTGGGAATGAGGAGACCCCTGCCCAGTGTTGTTGCCTGACTAATCAGTGTTTTAAGCGTATATTAATCAGGGTGGGCGTGGTGGCTCACGCCTGTAATCCCAGCACTTCAGGAGACCCAGGCGGGTGGATCACCTGAGGTCAGGAGTTCAATACCAGCCTTGCCAACATGGCTAAACCCTGTCTCTACTAACAAAATACAATAATTAGCCGGGCATGGTAATGGGCGCCTGTGATCCCAGCTACTTGGGAGGCTGAGGTAGGAGAATCGCTTGAACCCGGGAGGCGGAGGTTGCAGTGAGCTGAGATTACGCCACTTCACTCCAGCCTGGGTGAAAGAGCGAACATTATATCAACATGTAATGGTTTTATTATTAATATATAATGAATTAAATATTTTCAGAATCTTGTATTACTTATATCAACATGTAATGGCTTTGTTAATATGTGATGAATAATATTTTTAAAATTTTGTCTTATTTTCTAGTTTTAATATAATTATGTATATAAAGAAATAGTCTTAGAGGTTTTTAATAAAGTTAAAAAATGTAAAGTCATCCTAGACCCCAAAAGATTGAGAACTTCTACTTTAGAAATATTCAGAATAAGCCACATACAACTTGCTACTTGAACTATTTTTTTTCTTTGTTTTTTATTTTAGGAGATGAGGTCTCACCCTGTCACCCAGGCTGGAGTACAGTAGTACTATCACAACTCACTGCAGTCTTGAACTCCTGGGCTAAGGATCCTCCTGCCTGAGCCTCCTGAGTAGCTGGGACTATAGGTATACATGACGACACTTGGCTAATTTTTAAATTGTTTTGTGGACATGGGGTCTCACTTTGTTGGCCTGGCTGGTGTCAAACTCCTGGCCTTAAGTAACCCTTTCACCCCTGCCTCCCATCCTAGAGGTATGAGCTGCCACAACGAGCACTTGTTCAATTTTCTAAACAAATAAAACATTTCTAAAGTAAGGCTGTAGGATGATGGCAGGAAGATAAAAATAGAAAAACAGAAGAATACGTTCAAATGACTTACACATATTCTTTTGACAGCAATAAGAACTTTTAGTATATACATTCCTTGCAAACAAACATAAGGCAAATAAACAATGTTGTATAGGAATGTCAACACACACCGTACAATATTCCCACTTTGCTGACATGAGTTATAGAAATTTCATGGTTTACTTGAGTATCACTATCAGTATTTTACTTCTCTAATCATTTTTATGAACTTCCTCATCTGTTAACTTCTCTCCAAGGTATGTCATATCGTGACATACTGCTGCTGCACAAACATGGCCAGTGTCTTCGTCTTAAACATGTTGAATGCTTTCCTAATTTCTTTTACCCTCTGTCTCTGTGTTTTGCATTTTTCTTACCTTTATTGTCAGAAACTCCAGAAAGTCAATCATACTAATTTATCGCCATTTGCTTTATTAATTTATACTTTGCTTATATGGAATTTTGCCCAACAGGCCTCATTAAAATTTCTAACCTGTTTTGTTTTATTTATTTTTTTTCTGAGACAGAGTCTCGTTCTGTTGTCCAGTCTGGAGTGTAGTAGTGCTATCACAGCTGACTGCAGCCTCAACCTGCCAGGCTCAAGCAATCCTCCCATCTCAGCCTCCCACGTGGCTGAGACTATAGGTGCTTGCCACTATGCCCAACTAATATTTGGAATTTTCCTATACGTGGGTTCCAGAGGGGTGACGGCGAAACGTGAGTAAGCATGGATTTTGGTATATGCAGAGATGGGGGACTGGAACTAATTCTGTCTGTATACCGAGGGATGACTGTATGTGTTTTTACAATTATGCTGTAGGACACATACTGTTACGGAGCCTTGAAAATAATAATTTTTAACTGAGTGGAATAATAATAATATTGATAAAAGTAGCAGCTGGCCAGGTGTGGTGGCTTACACCAGTAATCACAACACTTTGGGAGGCTGAGGCAGGAGGATGGCTTGAAGCCAAGAGTTTGAGACAGGCCTTAGAAACAAAGGGAGTCACCATCCCTACAGAAAAATGCATGAATTATCCTAGTGTGGTGGCATGTTCCTGTAGTCCCAGCTACTTGGGAGGCTGAGGTGGGAGGATCGCTTGAGCCCAAGGAGGCTGAGACTGCAGTGAGTCATGATCAGGCCTCTGCACTCGAGCCTGGGTGACAGAGTGAGACACTGTCTCAAAACAACAAAAAAGTAGCAGCTAACATCAACTGACCTTTTACCAGTTGCCTGTTAATACCGTGGTTTAATTTCTTATAACTGTTTCTTATTTCACTTAACCACTCTGTCTTCAGTTACTCCCAGATTTTCACTGTGTTTGTGCAGATGACCTTTGTTTAGATTGAATTGTCTCCCCAAGGTATTTGCAGAAGTAACATTACTGTGAGTCATGGTGAATGGACATTCTCATTACCCTTGATGTAAATTGACAAGGTTTTGCGTGCCTCCCAGCTATAATCTCAGCACTTTGGGAGGCTAAGACAGGAGGATTGCTTGATGCCAAGAGTTGGAGGAGGCAGTTTGGCAGTATGGTGAGACCCTGTCTCTATTATTTTAAAAAATTGTCAAGCTTTACCCTGGAAGGCTTATATACAATTTAAACACCCCTCATAGTATAAGAAAGTGCCCATTTCACTGCATCTTTGCCAGCACAGGGTATTATAATTTAATGTCATTTTTTGATTATTTTAAATTGGTAAAAGACCTCATATTACTTTACTTGTCACATTTCTACATCTTTCCTTAGCTTATTAGCTCTATTCCTTTTCTGTCTGTAAATGGTTGTTGTTGTTGTTTTGTTCTTTGAGACAGGGTCTTGCTGTCACCCAGGCTTGACTGTAGTGGCATAATCATGACTCACTGCAACCTTGATCTCCCAGGCTCAAACTTCAGCTTCCTGAGTAGCTGAGACTACAAGTGTGCACCACCACTCCCAGCTAAGTTTTTTCTTTTTTTGAATAGAGACAGGGTCTCACTGTGTTGTCCAGACCGGTCTCTAGCTCCTGGCCTTAAGCAGTCCTCCTGTGTTAGCTTCTCAAATTGCTGGAATTTTGGGTATGAGCCACCATGCCTGGCCTGGGTAGTCCTGATTTCTCTAGAGTTCTCTTTACTTTGGGCTAGCATAATCTCTCATTCTGCTGTTCCCCTGTTACAATGAATAATTCTCTGGATTAAATTTTACTACTTTAAACTTTTGAGTGGTTTATGTCTCCTGATTGTACTCTGACTAATATGCTCGAAAGCGTCCTGGGAGATAAACCCACACAGATGGGATTTGGGCATAAGTTTGGTTTTCCAAGGGACAGTGCTGAGCTCCTTGCCAGTGGGAAATGGGATGCTGGTGATTTCCGGTAAGTGACCACACAGTGACTCAAGCTACCACTTACTGTTGATTGTGATGAAATGCCAACTGAGGCACATGCCTTGGGAGCTCAGTGGTTGCTGCACTTGACCGCTATGAAGACTGGTGTGGGAAGGGTGCTTTTGGATGCACTTAAGCCAGGGTCCCCAATCCCTGAGCCATGGAGCTGTAGGAGCCACACAACAGGAGGTGAGTGGTATCGAGTGAGGGAAGCTTCATCTGTATTTACAGCCACTCCCCTTTGCTCACATTCCTGCCTGAGCTCCACCTTCTCTCAGGTCAGCAGCAGCATGAGATTCTCATAGGAGCACACACCCTGTTGTGAACCGTGCATGTGAGGGATCTAGGTTGTGCTTTTGTCCCTATGAGAATCTAATGCCTAATCTGTCACCTTCTATGCTCAGACGGGACCATGTAGTCGCAGGAAAACAAGCTTAACATGCCCACTGATTCTACATTATGGTGAGTTCTATAATTACTTTTCATCTATTACAATTTTATAATGGAAATAAAGTACCTAATAAATGTAACATACTTGAATCTTTTGGCCCAGGTCTTGCCTCTCGACAGCCTCTGCAACCTCTCCAGGCCCTGAACTTTCTCCAGTCGGCCTCTACAGACCAAGCTCATGACTCACAATGGTCTATTTAGGCCCATACCCTACCTCACGGCAGTCTCCGCCGATGAGGCTACTGCCTCACAACAGCCTCCACAGGCCCAGCTCCATCGTTACAACGGCCTCTGTAGACCCAGCTCCTGCTTCCCAGTCTTCTCTCCAGGCCCAGAACTTTCTCAAGTCGACCGCACCAGACCCAGCTCCTGCCTCTCATTGCCGTCCCAAGGGCCAGCTTTTGCCTCATGGCCACCTTCCAAGAGCCAGCGCCTGTTTTACAGTGGCCTCATGAGGCCCATCTTCTGACTCCCGGCAGCCTGTACAGGCCCAGCTCCTGCCTTACAGTGGCCTCTTTAGTCCCACCTCCTGCCTATTTGCAGGAGGCCCAAATGGCCTCAAGTGCAGGCCACAAAATCCAGGTCCAAAATGTCCACAAGTTGGCCTCTCAAGGCGCCGCTACTGCCTTTCGTTTCTCCAGGCCGAGCTGCTGCCCCCAGGTGACCTCTACAGGCTACACTTTTACTTCTGGCTGTGCCTGGAGGCCCAAATCCTGCCACTCCGTGGCCTCTCCAGCTGCCAGACTTCCTCAGGTCAGCCTCTCCAGGCCCAGCTCCTCCTGCCTGCCACTGGCCTCTTGAGGCCCAGTCCCGCTCACGCCTCTGGGCGGCCTCCTCAGGCCCAGGACTTGACCTCCAGTCGGCCTCGCCAGGCCCAGCCTCCTGCCTCCCGAAGGCCTGCACAGGCCCAGCCTCTGCCTCCCAGCGGACTCTCCACGCCCAGCTCTCGCCTGACTGCGGCCTCCCCAGGCCAGAGTTCCTCATGCCTTTGGGAGGCTGCGCCGGGCCCCGCTCCTGCCTCCCAGTGGCCTCACTAGGCCCCCCTCATTCGTCACGGGGAACGGCTTTTCAGGGCCCAGACTTTGCTTTTGACGGCCTCTCCAGGCCCCGAACTTCCTGAGGCCGGCCACTCCAGGCCCAGTTGCGGCCTCCCGGCCTCACGTCCGGGCCCAGCTCCTCCTGTTCCCGGCTGCGGCCGCGGGCCCAGTCCCGGCCTCACGACAACCTCTTTGGACTCGGCTCCGGCCCAGCTCCCGCTCCGCGGCCTTTGTAGGCCCCAAACGTGCTGAAGCCGGGCCCGGCTCTTGCCCTCCGACGGGGTCTCCACGCCCCAGACTTCCTCCAGCCCGCCTCTCCAGGCCCAGCTCCTCCTGCCGGCGGCCTCTGCAGGCCCACGCTGGCCTCGAGTGGGCCTCTCCAGGGCTCGCTCCTGCTCCCGGCGGGCTCTGCGGGCCAAACTCGTGGCCCAGTCGGCCTCTGCCGGCCCATCTCCTGCCTCTCCGCGGCCTCTCCGGCTGCCAGACTTCCTCTGGTCAGCCTCTCCAGGCCCAGCTCCTCCTGCCTGCCACTGGCCTCTTGAGGCCCAGCCCCGCTCACGCCTCTGGGCGGCCTCCTCAGGCCCAGGACTTGACCTCCAGTCGGCCTCGCCAGGCTCAGCCTCCTGCCTCCCAAAGGCCTTCACAGGCCCAGCCTCTGCCTCCCAGTGGACTCTCCACGCCCAGCTCTCGCCTGACTGCGGCCTCCCCAGGCCAGAGCTCCTCCTGCCTTTCCGCAGCTCCGCCGGGCCCTGCTCCTGCCTCTCAGTGGCCTCACTAGGTCCCGCTCATTTGTCACAAGGAACGGCCTTTCCGGGCCCAGCATTTGCCTTTTGGCGGCCTCTCCAGGTCCAGACGTTTTTTAAGCCAGCCTGTCCGGACCCAGTTGCTGCATCTCATCATTCCCTTCCTGCCCAGGCTTCCTCCCAGTTTTGGCTGCTGCTTAAATTTTTCCTCACGACAATCTGTTTGGACAAAACTCCTGTCCGGCTCCTTGTGCTCATTTAGACTGGGAAGTTTCTCAAGTCCAGCTCTCCAATTTCACTGCTTTCCTTGTGGCAACATGAGCTGTCACAGCTTTTACCTGACTATATCTTCTCCAGACTGCCTTTGCAGCCTCACATTGGTGTTTCTAGGCTCAGATGCTGCATTTTGGTTTTTTTAAGTTGCCCGTCTCTTTCCTTGTGCCTGCCTCCCAAGTCCCAGCTCCTGTCTTATTGTGTTGTGTGTTTATACTAGCTCCTGTCTCACGATGGCCTCTTCTGGCCCACCTTCGGCGTTATAGTGGACAGTCAAGCCCATCCTCTGCCTCTTCGTGGCCTTTTCTCCCTTTCCTCTTGCCCCACAGTCACCTCTTCTGGATCCATCTTTTTAATCTTTGGTGTTCAAGAGTATGAAGGAGCCTAAAGCTTCCCTGGACTCTTATTTATTGGTAAGTTTAAAGCAGAGTGCCTTAGCAAAACACCTGCCTCTTCTTTTAACCTTGAGAATGGATTTGTGACAAATTTATAATAAATTCTACCTGTGTGGTTTCATACCGATTTTTGTTTTATTTAGTGTCTCATCATTTGACTTTTCTTTTTTTGGGTGGGAATGGGAATGAGCCTCTACTTGGGTCCTTTTTCTTCACTCTGAACATGGTGGCTTCTCACTTCATGTCTTCCGTATTTATGTTGTTTACAGTTACGTTTTTTTTAGGGTCTTGCTCTGTCACCCAGGCTGGAGCGGAGTCGTGTGATCATGGCTCACTGCAGCCTTGGCCTTTTGGCCTGAAGTTATTCTCCCAATTCAGCATCTTGAGTAGCTGATACTACAGGCACATGCCACCATGCCTGGCTAATTTCTGATTTTTTCTGAGAGATTGGTTCTCACTATGTTGCTCAGGCTGTTCCCAGACTTTGGACACAAGCAGTCCTTTTGCCTGAGACTCCCAAAGTGCTGAGATTACAAGCATAAACTACCATACCTGGCTTGCTATTTGCTTGTCATGAACTATTAAGAGTTTGCTCTTTGATTAACATACTATTTCTATATAGATTTATGTAGATATAGACAGTTTAAATTTTTCATGGATACCAATTTTTTCCCTTTCTTTGAGGCAAAGTACCACTTTTCCTTCAGGATGGAGTGTAGTGGTATAATCCTGGCTTACCACAACCTCTTCTTTCTTGGCTTAAGTGATCCTCCCCCCTCAGCCTGCTGAGTAGCTGGGATCCCAGGTTTGAGCTGCCATAGCCAGGTAATTTGTATATTTCTTGTAGAGATGGGGTCTCACCATGTTTCCCAGGCTGGTTTCAAACTCCTGGACTCAAGCAATACTCCCCCTCAGCCTCTTACAGTGCTGGGATTACAGGTGGGAGCCACCACACCTGGCCTACCATTTTCTTTTCATGGATCATTAAGAATTTAGTTTAT